ACCAACGCCTTTATCCACTATGCCATGTTTCCTTATCTTCACAGCCAAGACCTGACATACCATCCATATTATAGCAAACTACCCATATTCCCTCTGTATTTCATAGGTGAGAAGTAAATTATACTTGAACAGCTTCTCACAAACCAATGCTCTGTGGAACCAGTACCAAAGAGGTTGTTTTTTTTCTGACCACTACCATCTGTTTAAGTCTATGGTTAACTTGTCCGTTCCACATAAACTGTCCTTTACTATAAACCTTCATGTCGAGTGGCCGCCGGGGTTTGTACAGGGTGATCCCCACTATACTATATATATATATATATATATATATATATATATATATATATATATATATTTGTGTGTGTGTGTATGTATAAATTTAGGAAAATGAAATAACTAAATATAAGCAGCCGTATACGTGCGTGCTGGCTTGTATACACAAGTAAACAAATAAATAATTACTAAATTTTTCCAAGAGGTGAAACCATAATAGTGCTCGACGTGGTTAGACAGAGCCAGGGAATATATATTAATATACATATATACCTACGTTTGGGGTATGACAAGTTTCGTAGGTTACCCAACTCGTCGGTCACAAGGTATAGCTCATTGATTTTTAAAAAATATGCAGCCACAGCACTCTACTGGGATATGAAAAGTGATAGCTACACGCCTATTGTAAATTGTGAATCTGTCGCTAAAATCAAGCCATTCTCTAGGAAAGAGGAAAGATGTAATTTTTTTTTAAGCGATTCTCACCAAGCAAGGCGAGAAGCCACTAGGACGCAAGGGGTTACAGAAAATTTAGAGCAAGATCAGATAGAACTGATAGAGGAAAAGCTGAGGAGAAGGATAGTGGATAGATCAAGGCAACTGGAGATGTCGATTGACATTACATTTGAATAGCTGGAGATTATAGCTATCAGGGAAACTGGAATAGTGAAGGGAGTTCCACAGGCGAGAGGTGTGAGACATGAAGCTATTGGTGTAGAAGAGATGGCTACATTTAGGAGTTTCGACAGTGAAAAGGTGAGAGCGGGATGCCAGCCTGGTAGGGCGCTTGAACTCATGAATCTGGAAACCAGTGAATGCAGCTCCTCGGAGCAATTGCCATGAAAGTATTTGTAAAACAGAGAGAGGCGGCGGCGCGTCTGTGAGAAAGTGACTGTAGACGAGATGCCAGAGCAGGGCCAATTATATTGCATATCCGCCTCTGGAGCCTATCAAGAACCCCGAGGTAAACAGAAGGGGCTCCAGACCATATATGGCAGCAATACTCCATGCAAGGGCGAATTGCTGATTTGTAGATCTGGAGGATCGCTTCCGAGGAGAAGAATTTCCTGGCGCGGCACAGGGAACCAACTTTCCTTGCGGTGGACGAAGCAATTGACTCAATGTATTTGTTCCATCTCAGATCAGCCGTCGACGTGAGACCGAGCAACCGCAGAGAGGTGCTCTCGAGAAGTTGAGCGTCAGACATTCTAATGGAGGGAAGGATCTCTGTGGTGATTAATAGAGAGCAGTTTTGTTTTTGAAGCATTAAAGTTGACCAGCCAATTCCTGCCCAGTTCACTACCGATTGGAGGTCCTTTTCGAGATGCACGGCCAGGTTAGTTTTGTCAGTGACACTAGATTTGTTTTTGAGGCAGGAGTAAATTGTGATGTCATCCGCGTAGATGCCAACTTGGGAATTTATGGCGTCAGGAAGGTCATTTATGTAGATAAGGAATAGAGTGGGGCCTAGGATGGAGCCTTGAGGAACTGGAGGAGAATCTGTTGAGAACGACCTTCAATTCACGGTTTGACAGGAATGATTGTATTAGGTCAAACAAGCGACCCGTAATGCCATAACCCTGGAGCTTGCGAAGAAGGCCGGCATGCCAAACCCTATCAAATGCTTTGGAGATGTCTAGTGCCACGGCACGAGCTTCCCCGTTATTTTGAAGAGCTTGGTAGACAGTTTCAGTGATGGCCGTAAGCACATCAGCTGTAGATCGGGCAAAGCGGAATATTGCTTGTCTAAGAGCAGATCATGGGATGTAAGGTGGTTAACCACTTCGGTATTGATTAGGGCTTCGAAGACTTTGCCGAAGAGGGGTAGGATACTGATAGGACGGTAGTTAGAAGGGTCAGAGGGGTCGCCAGAGTTCTTGAAGACAGGAACAATCGAAGAAGACGTCCAGCAGTCAGGAAAACAAGATTCCTTGAGGCAGTAGTTATATAGTTTAGAGAGGGCGCCAGTTCAGGCACGCATTTCTTCAAGACAATGGCTGGTATCCCATTTCCATCACTAGCCTTGTGGGGGTCTAAATTGGAGATAATGTCCAATACCAAAGACAGGGTTATGTGTAACCAACCCACTCAATAGGTCCTCAGTTCTAAGAGGGAAGTCGGGTATGGGTACACCGGAAGAGTCGAGCGTCGAGTTGAATGAAAATTTCCGAGAAAAGCATTATGTATACAAGAAAATACATTCTCAAAAAAATTAACAATTTCAGTCTCCTTAATAAGCGAAATGAGCTTATGTCTATTTGTATGCATAGAAAAATGTTTCTCTTAAAACATTGTAAGTCTGATGGTTAAATTGCTTTTTGACATTTTACTTTTGGCACACACTGATTATCTCCCTTTAAGCCCACAACGTCCATTATATGAGCTAATTAACTACGTTTCACGTTCAAATATTGAATTTCAAATTTTTCAATTTTTTTTCTTTTTTTTTTTCACTGACTCCTAACTACATTCCATTTTCTGCACCTGAACCCTGGCTTATACTATTTTCACACAATCTCAAACTAAACTATGTAACAATGTTCCTCCCACGTCTCCTGCATATTTAAAAAGCAAACCTAATAATCTATATACTGTGCCTGGCGAGTTGGATAACCAACGAAACTTAAGTCGCGCATCAAACGTATATATATCTATATATATATATATATATATATATATATATATATATATATATATATAGATAGATAGATAGATAGATAGATAGATAGATAGATAGATAGTTTTTTTTTTTACGTACGGCATATCAACCTCAACAAGATTTTTTTTTTAAAAATATATTGCTGGTAATAATGTACTGTTTGTAATTTTTTTCCAAAAAATGAATTGTTGTTATTAAAACCTATTTTTACACTTCCATAGTGTTTTGTCCTCGGTTTGAGGGTTAGCTTTTTGCCTATAGATGGAACCTTAACAGGTGCTACCACCCCGGGTCAGGATGGATCTGGGAACACCAGCAATTAAGAGGTTGTTGTGCGCTTCTCAAAATCTCCTCATCAGAGCTCTTGCTGCCGGATGTAGTTTATCGTTATACCCAGGAGGCGAATGTAGTTTATCATCATATCCAGGGCGCCTCATTGGTGGGATCTTACGATTCTGCAGAGGTGCAGTTGGCGTATAAAGAAGCTACAGCCGAAAGTCAGAGACTCATGATCTTGGTATGATAGCAGAGGTTAAAATCTTCAGTTAATAAGCCATAATATTTTGTCTTGTTTCGAGAGAATAATCTGTGAAAAAAAAATTAATGCATATATAAATATTTTAAATGCCTCATTTTTTCGTAACTACTATCTCAGATCATGACTACTAAAGTGAAATGATTCTGACCCTGTGTCCCATATTTGTAGTCTTGTGCAATACGAAGTTTAGCTTGGAAAAATATATTTTCTATCTTGTTTATACGTTTATAAAACCTTTATGCCCTTTACTAAACAACTGATAATCAAAGTAGAACCTTCCTTTGAGCAACTGCCCTGCCATTCTGTACAGCGTTGGTTTTGTTCTTGATTGTATCAGTAATAAAACTACTTGCTTTTATCTGACAATTCAGTACACAACAAGAGAAGACACATTTAGTGGCAGACACAATCAGACAATATCTGTTCCCTGGGCGTTTAGTCGAGATTGTTCTTCCTCTAACTGAAATATTACAAGACATATCAAATTGAAAAGTTAAGCAATAATAAAACTCGTTTTGCAAACTTTTCTCTTATCACTGGCTCTGATCCCCGACGTTCACGTAATTCGGCTCGAGTTTGAAGGCATAAATAATTTACCGTCACTCGAAATAAATGTTACTAGGAAATTACATGTTCGAAGTTCGGCAGCCGAGTAATATAGGTGTCAGCAAGGACTACATTTCCCAAGGCATAAGAGAAACAGACGAAGAAAATAGAATCAATTATAATTTCTCATTATTATCCTAATCACTGCTGTTTATATACCAGTCCTCTTCGAGGGTTTCACTTTCGTAACTCTTTCTCTCCATAGGTCGATTTGGTTAACATTTGGATATTACCTCCAGCAGGATCCATCTATTGCTTTCTATCACATTCGGTGGCCTTAACTCGTATCTGGAAATTTAGTTCCTTATGTTAAATGCCATATTTCAGTGACAAATGACTAGCCTAAACCAGAGTTTTCAAACTTACCATTCGTGTGGAAATCTGGAAATAGTTTTCATGTCTCAAGAAAATTCTTCATAAAAATTATTATATACCATATTAATGTTTATCTTTTTTATAATTGTATCGCGGTTCACTAAGATCTAAAGGGGTTCATTTCAGCTAATTGAAAAAATGTCCCCTTTTATTATTATTCGTAATGCAAACATATTATATAGATCGTTTATCAGACACCACGCCGAGGATTTCATTCCCAATCGATATCATATACGTATAACACGTATAAACAAAAGGTAATCGCGTCTATTGACAATATCTTTCCCTATAATTATTATTCTTAGCTGATGCCTTTATTAGAATGAATAAGGATCTTCCAACAATATGCCGTATGTGTATTGTAAAATTCCGAATATATAATTAAACAAAAATTACCCCCAAATGCATTAGCTTATTTCTTCATGTTTTTGCATAACCCCTTGTGACTTCTTGCGAAAAATTTAGAGTTCCAGTGAACAACGGTTAAGAAATGCTGGCTTAAACTAACAATTGATCACACATCCTTCAGAACCTGTATTAATTCTGAAGTCAAGAAATAAGAAAATATGTGCACGTCAGTTTGCATAGATAGATAGATAGATAGATAGATAGATAGATAGTAGCTGGATATAAGGTGAATATACATTTATAGATAGATAGATAGATAGTAGCTGGATAGAAGGTGAATATACTTTCATAGATAGATAGATAGATAGATAGATAGATAGATAGATAGATAGAAGGTGAATATACTTTTATAGATATATAGATAGTATACAGATAATAAATAGAGAGTAGGTGGATAGAAGGTGAATATGCTTTTATAGATAGATAGATAGATAGATAGATAATAAATAGAGAGTAGATGGATAGAAGGTGAATATACTTTTATAGATAGATAGATAGATAGATAGATAGATAGATAGATAGATAGATAGATCCGAGTAGTAGAGAGTCGTCGCCTAAGATATAAAGGAGTTCATTTCAAAATCACTTATCGCTTCTGAGTCACTGAGTAGCAGAATCTGGCCACAATGTAGCATAACATCATACATTCGTTCATGCAACCTACCTTTTGAAGCGAACTACAGGAATAGAACAAAAGAAAATATGTAATATCGTAAGACCATTTTTTCCTCCTTTTGTCACAGATTCTTTTACAAACGTTAGAGAAAAACACCCTCATCATGGGCGTCTCACAGACTATCAACGGACCTGCAATGATCTTGGAAGCCTTTCATAAGTTATTTCTAGAAGGCAGGCTTTAAGTTCCTTTTTAAATGGAAAAAAAAGATATGCCAAGTAGTATTTAGGATAGGAAAACGAAATTTAGTTCAGGAAGAAAAAATGAATAAACAGCCAGCCTCGAGACGGAAGCCACTCAAGTGTATGTATTTAACTGCACACAAGGTCATGTTTAAAGATGGCTAAACGTGAACTGGGGAAAAATTGTTTAAGCCTCTTCAGCACTTTCCCTATTGAGTAGGCACGTCAAACATTATGCCCACAGGCCGCAATCGTCCCTCTACAAGCACAACTGCGGCCCACACAAAAGATAATAATTTTGTCATTTAACAACCAGAAGTTCTAATTTTCATTTAGAAATTATAGTATTTAAGAAAATAAATCACATGTTTTTTTTACATTTTGATTTATTTTAATAGAATAGAATTTACTACATGAATTTATTTAAAATAATTTTAATATTATCGACTATCTTTAAGTTAGTTCGATACTAAGCTATTATTTTGAAAATTGTAGCAAATATTAGATATTCTTGATGGCTGTGAAAATAGCGCGGGAACAATGTCTCTCTAATATCCATGCCAGCAGACATCACACAACGAAAATGGCATCTCATTAACAGCTGTAAACAGAAAAACTTCCTTCAAAATTTCAAAGATTTTTTTCTTTTGAAAAAAAGTTGAAATGTCAGCTAAAAATGTTTTAGAATCGATATAAAAATTGTTTTATCTCTTTTTACTGATAGCTGTAGTTTAAATGTATTAGTAATGTTTCAGATTTCACGTTATTAATTTTGATAATAAGTTTTTTTCTACTACTTCAACCCTAAAATGGTTAGTGGGAATTACATTTTTTTTACAACGGAGAATGTAAAGAAAGTTTAATTTATAACTCCATCGCCACACCGAAAGAGTACAACCAAAAGACATTATGATAGGCACCATCTATTTTACGAAAAATATGATGCTCTGATGCGTGTCTCAAAACTGAAGGAATTTGAAGAATATCTTGACACAAAAACAAACCTTTTTTTAGGAAAATTCAGAAACAGAATGTCGCTTCTGTTACTGCAAGCTCTGAACGCAGCCGAATGTTAGCCAATAATGGGAAATCGTACAGTAAAAGAGATTTCGTAAAGAAATGCCTTGTGAAAACAGCTGAAATTGTGCATATATAGAAAGCACACTTATACAAAGACATTGGGCACGTCGACCTGGTGTAATGATCTCGCTAGGACAATCACGACTGACTAGTGACTTCAATCTTCGCTGGGTGCCCCATTCTTTCTGTCTTATGGCAAATCTGAGCTACGCTTAGAAAATCACTTCTTATATAAAGACATTTAATTAACGAGTAACACTGTTGTTGAATGTATTGATGAAATGTCAGGTGATTTGAAATAATTGTTGAAGGCTGTATCATCAAGGTTTGAACATTTTTCTATTGCTATTGATGAAAACGTTGACATCACTGGAATAGTACAATTTGCAATCTTCATCAGGGCCAGTGACAGTGAATTTAATATTTATGGATTGATTAAACTGATTCCTAAGTATGACACTACAAGAAGCCAGAACATTGAGAAAGTTAAGCAGGTTCTACATGTGTATAGTTTTGATTTGAGTAAACTTGCATGCTTATCTAAAGGCGGCGCTGCGAATATGGTTGATAAACATAATGGTGTTACTGTCAGGTTACAAAGAAAAGTAAAAAAAATCGCATCCAGATTCATCATTTGCACATTTTCACTGTATTATTTTACGAATAAAGTTTGTGTTCAAAGATTTTAAAAATGGATCATATGCTTAGCTTAGCCACAAAGACAGTGAACTATATCAGAGGCCATGCTCTCAACCATCTTCGGTTCAATCAGTTGTTGGAAGATATGGATAATCAGTTCAACAATGTTTCATTCTACAGTACGCTGGTTGTCATGTCACAAAGTTCCGAAAAGATTCTATAAGAAATAATTATGGTTTTGGAGATGAAAAATCAAAACAGATGAAATAATGATGAAAGTTAGCTCTATGTTGCCGAAGTAATATTTACAACGAAAGTCAGTTTTATTGTGGATATTACTCCACAATTAACTGATTTTAATTTGAAAATACAAGGTAAAAACAAACTTACCACTCAGTTGTATGATGAGATCAAGTGCTTCATTGAAAATGAAAGCTTATGGAAATCACAGATGTTAAAATTGTGTTAATTTTCCTAAGTGAATAGAGCTTAAGCCACTGCCAATACCGAGAGTGTATTTAGCTTTTCTGAATATGACAATCAACTGGAATTGTTGTCAAAGGAATTTCAGAAAAGATTTAGTGATTTCTCATCTTTTAAACATCAATTATTCTCAGCACCATTCACTTTTGATATTTCCCAGACAGAAGGACGCATGCAGATGGAACTATTGGAAATGCTGTGGGATTCTACACTCAGATAAACGTATCTTGAAATTGGAATATCTGGGTTCTTTTTATGATTCCTGAAGAAAAGTTTACAAACTTCAGAAAATTTGCCACAAAATTATGGCAATGTTTTGTTCTACTCATGCGTATGAAGAGGTATTTTATTCATGAAATCAATAAACCTTCCTCAGAGAACAAGATTAATTGATCAACATTTTTTCATCTTTGATCAAAGTCGAAACTGGACAGATATTTCAGCCAGACATACTAAAAACTTTCTACAAAGACAAGTGTCACGCCTCAAGAAAGAAACTTAAACCGACTGAATAGTGGCAAATAAATGTTCAGTTTTCAACTGTTGTAATTTTAGTACAATGTATTTGTTGCTGTTGTTAACTGCAAGTATATGTTGTTGTATACATTTTTTATCAAACTAATTCATTAATTTGTATACATAAATCCTGCTAAAACATTTGTATGCACATTGTGCGTTTCTAAATTTAAACAATAAAAATATTCTGCAATAAATTTTATTAAATGACTCCAATTAGTTGTAATGTGCACAATTGGTTGTCGTGTGTTTGCCTCATGTCAACACATATGTGACTATCTGACCCTGAGAAGAACCTCAGTTTGAAATGCCTGTTTTTGTGGATAACTCAAACGACAAGTAATCACCCAGATTACATGCCAGAGAAAAGGTAAAACCTAGAGTATGTCATTCCTCTGCTCGAGCGTATAAATGGTATTAATTTTCAATCCTACACAACTTGCCTAAGCTATGTTCATTTTAGTCAGGGTAGCGGTCATGGTATTAATACCGGTGCCAAAGGAAAACATCATTTTGACATTGTTATGGGTACTTACCCATAATAATAATAGACTATTCCTGACATTATAAATACTGCGCCTCTCAAGAGGTATGAGGATATTTGTAAGACGAGGAGAGATAATATTGTAAGGACATTGGAATAGTGATACTTGTCGAGACAACATAGTTCACTCTAACCAAATCTGATAGTCATTACTAATACTTCTACTTCTTTGTATTATATTTCTGTTGTAATATATCTTTGTATTCCATACCTGTGTTCGTGTTATTCTTTCATTGGTTCTAACCTTGGACCATCACCGTGGTACAAGGAACTTGGACCATAACAGACATACCGTATTTTGTGGGGTGAAGTGTTAAACATAACGGAATGAAAAATTACAAAATATGACATATCCAACGAAAAATGCCTGAAAGAATGATTGTTTTACAAATATAAAATATCTAAATATATATCCACATAAGTAGTGACTTCTCGTTTCTGATTATACCTGTCTACGATTATGGCTCGCTGGTCCCTACTGCAGACCCCTGTCCAGGCAGGTTTATGTTTCCTCGGCGCCAACAGACTATACGGCAACTACTTTGAACGGACCTCAGTTCCAGTTTCTACGGCAGTGTCCTCTCAGTAGTTGAACAAGACCAGTACATACGATTTGTCGTCTGCAATGAATTATTACTTTATGCTAGCCTCACAATCGCCAGCTTTCAAACTGTTTCGTCAACCCAATTTGATTTGCAAGAATTGGGTTAAAGGGTGGCATATTTTTCACACACTTTTCAGCATTGTCGCTAGCTGGGATCATCTCTCTCAGCAGATATTAACAAGAAATCACCTCGACAAATCAACCATAGTAATTTTAGAACCTGCTTTCATGGTTGCAACGCTAACATTCAAACCATTTAACCACACATCAATAATCATAGAAATACAAAGTCTATAAATTGTATCTCATTATTTATAGAAAATATATGTATAAATATTTTATATATATTGGTACTCACTAGCGCTTATTTTATTCATAGCGTAGGTTTCAATTATAGGTAATTTGATGAGGATTGAACTCACTGCGATAATTTTGATTTGTGAGGCTCATCACTATTTCATAGATAGATGTCTTCATTAGATACCTTTACTGAATTTTTGATACTTAAGGTTTAAAATGATTTTTTAAAAATGGCAATGCATTCTTGAAGATTTCATTTTAGCTTTAATTGAAAGCTAAATGATTAAATTTACTATTTGCAGTAAGTAAAATATTCTGGTATATTTCAAATAGAAATTACATAAATCGGAAACTAAACTTTTTGGCCGATTTATGAAAATTTTCTTAAAAGCGGCTATTTTCTTAATTTTAAGAAATTTATAAACAAAACAAAATTATCGGTTTTAAAAATCTTCCAAAAATAAAATGTATATTTGTGACAAGTTATTTGAGTAAAATTAGAAAATTTAAAGTTAAATTAATGTGATTTGAAATAAATATTACTTACTTATGGCATAAAAAAGTAATATAAAAGCATTTCTTAACGACGGACCCTGTTTTTCTTTTATCTTTATCAACATATCGATCGGTTCCGAGGTGATGACGGCTAGTATGGATGACCAGAATTGACATAAATTTACGAAATCTACGTGAATACATTTTGGAAGGAGGTTAACTACCTAGAAATTTTTTTACAAACTAACATATTTTCAGAAATATGTCAGATTAATTAAAAAAAATAAAACTAAACATTTTGAAGGGATGATTTGTAAAGATGTTAGTGATGAAACAGAACTGAATAATGAAATTGAAAGAATTGCCGAGCACCAGACGACTCTTAAATCATGTGAGCTTTTTAATGATTTTAAAAGGTGGCTTACTATAGTTAGAAAGTGGGAATGTCTATACACTATTTTTTTTATTTTTATATGTTATGAGCTTTTCAATTTTGGATTCTATACAATTTACACTTAACCAAACTGCCGCCTTGAAGTAATGCAGAAATTAAAACGATTTTATATTATAAATTATTTAATTAAAAATTTAAAAAAAATGAAAATAATTCTTGTAATAATTAATTATTCAAAAATTTCCTTCTTAAAACAATAGTGTCCTTATTAAATCTCATTTATCAAAGCAATTAAAAGCTTTTCTAATTACATGATATTATAGTTTATTGCATTATTTTATTTCACAATTCAGAGCATATTTACAGTAACAGGGTAACTGTTTCACAAAAAATATTGATGATTTACTTTCTCCAAATAATAAAAAAACTCATCCTAAAAATTGAACTTCTCGAAAGTTCATGTAACTAAGTGGGTGGTAAAATAATTATATAAAAAAAAAAATTACCAAAATCTTTAAAAAAATCAGAAATAATTTCATTCATTTCTAAATATGTCCCGAAAGTTTCATTAAAACCTGACAATATTTGATTTTTGCAAGAATTTCCAAGTCAGTGTGTTTTTCACTGGAAAAGGCGCAAAAAACTAATCGTTATCATTACGTCGGCCGCTGACGTAAACAAAACAAGATTTTTAACTAAAATTTCGAACGTGCTAGAAAGGATTAAAAGTTTTTAAAATAATTTTTTTTTTAAATGGGTTTTTCATCTTAATAATAACAGAAACATTTTGATAACAAAACTTTGTTTTTATTGAGTTTGGGATTTTTTTTTTTTGATCATGCTATCCTGTTTTTTTTTTTTCCGAGAAAAATTATGGAACCTACTTTTCATTTATATACATGAACACCTAAATATATATATTCTGGATATCAAACGGGGAGTTATCTCATATAATTATCATGGAATTTGGAAGGAATTGACTGGCTCATAACACTTAATTCTGACTAATTCAATAAAATTATTTTTACTTTCAAACATTTGAAGGATCAAACATCTCTTAATAATTAGAAGATTTATTTACTTTGAGCATCAATCGCCCACTAAACAGTCAAGTTGTTCTATAAATTCAGAATTGTTGAACACTAACCAAGATTTCAGATTATAATTGCTTAATGCGCTTGTTTTACAAATAAGAAGTTGACAAATTTGGATCTTCATGCCAGCCAAAAAATGGTGTGTCAAAAGGACGGTTTTTCCATTGACACCGCTATTATTTCACCTACCTTCACTCCTCGGGAATTTTTATTGTTTTAAAAAACGATGTTTAGAATTGTAATAAAACCTAAATATATGAACGTGAACTTATACATTTTCTTTATTCCTAAGAATTTACAACAAAAATCTAACACACTATTTATTAAATTGTTTATATTTACTTTATCAGATTGTTTATTGAAATGGTTGACAAAACATCTACTAATTACCAACTGATTCGAACTTTATAAAATGGTAAATAATAAGGATTTCCTTAAATTGGTTCACATATTTTTATAATTTATTAAATGTTCATAAATTTATGAATAAAAATTATTTGCATATTTATTTCTTTATAAATTGGTAAATGATATCTATTGCATTATATTCAATTTTATTACTTTTTAGAATGTTGTAAATATAGCATTATTCTTGTAAATAAACAATATGATAAATAAATATTTTTTAATATTTTTTACAAATTATCAAGAATAAAAAACATGTATAAATTCACTTTCATCATATGTTTAGGTTTTACTACGGTACTAATAATCGCTTTTTTAAAAGTATTGAAGGTAGATATTAACACCGCAAATGGAAAAAAAACGTCCATTTGTTTTTGCGGACACGAAAGTCCAAGTTTTCCAGGAATTTAATTCAAAATGGGAAAATAAGTAAATAAAAAATCTGATCTCAAGAGGTAAAGGAAAAAAATGTGATGTTTTAAAAAAATGACTGAGAAAATAACGAAAAGGAAGAGAACACAATTAAGTGCTTGCGTGGCCCCTGAAAAATCATTTGTTAGATTTATTTCTTTTATAGTCACCCGATTTTTATTCATTGCTTAGATTTAAGGTGATTTCTGATGTAGTAATATGTGTGTGTTTTTCATCTAAAGCAACCTGATTATTTTTTTTTTTTTGTCTTACCAAAACATACCTTAATATTTAGTTTCATGGTTCTTTTCAGTTGGAACGTGATATATAAAATTATTAATAGATTTAAAGTGATCGAATATATATATAAAGACCAAAGAATATCTCAATGAAAGTGCCGAGCAAAAATCAATAAAATTAAAGAAAATAACTGGATAAAATGTATGAAAGAGAATACTGTGTAAGATTAAATTTTTAACTCTCACACTTTTTTTTTGGTAGGTAACTATCATGCTGCACATAACGTGATACTCTGATATTCAGGACATAGAAAAAGATTGATTCATTTTATTGTTTATCATGTTGCCCTGCAACTACCCGTATCTGCTTAGATTTCTATCCCTATTAATATATATATATATATATATATATATATATATATATATATATATATATATATATATATATATATATATATATATATATATAGTCTCCCTCTATCACTATCTACCTATCTCTATATAACTATATATCTATTTATTTATCACTACCTATCTCTCTATATATATCATTTTCTTTTTCTCTTTTCACTACATAATCATTTATTCATCTAAAACTAAATATATATATATATATATATATATATATATATATATATATATATATATCTGTGTGTGTGTATCAGAAAATTGAAGAAAGCAAAAACCGTGATTGACTTTTCACGCTTTAACAACCCTTTTGAAGAGAACCTTGTATATCGCTGCTATTTGCCTTGAGTACATTAAGTTCAAACGATATTGTAAGATGCAGTGAGCATAATTTTCTTATAAAATAAATAGTGAGGATTGAATTCCGCAGTCGTAATGGTTTGCAATCAATCTCGCAAATGCAGGTTAACGTATTGTTATGCACAGTGTTTTTGCAGATAGATAATCAATTGACAGTGAGTAGATAGATTATGAATAGACTATTTTGTAGATAGATAGATAGATAGATAGATAGATAGATAGATAGATAGTAGATGGATAGATGATGAATAGCCTTTTTGTAGATACATAGATGATGAACAGATGAAGGCAATGAATGAACTAAGATATAGATAGGTAGATTTGGGCACCTCGAGTTGGTATAATGGTTAGCAAACTTGTATCACTAGAACGATTGTGACTATGTAGAGAGTTCGATTCTCCCTGGGTGCCCCCTAATTTCAGTCCTTGTGCCACATCTAAGCTATACTTGGAATATCAATATAGATAGGTAGATCAATTATTCACACTATTTATATTCGGACTATTGTGTCCTCTGGACTCCCTCAGATGTCTATTTATTTGGATAACCTACAGGGAATTCTGAACCCTTTATTTAATCAACGGGGATATACAGTTCTTGTACCACTGCTCAGGTCTAAGGATAGCGTGTATTTCTTATTTTATTTAGTACTGTTCGGTTATTGCTCGTCAATTTCCACTGAGTCCAAGTACACACTGCCTGATCCAGGGACTGAACTCACAACCACTATATCACCAAATTCGCAAACCTACGATTTTATCCACTTTGTCCCGTAGGTAGATAAATAATGAAAAGACTATGGTGTATGGATGGACTAGATAGACCTATAATATGTACTTATTGTAGAATCGATTATGTGACTGACAAGTATATAACTCTTAGTCGATAGCGTAATGCCTAATTTACATACGTGTATGCGTGTGGCCGGGTGTGTATTTATTTTTTTCCGTGTTGCATATGTGTGTTAACGTGCACACATGTATATAGGTATTAATCCATTACTTTCCATGTCGTCTTTTTTTATAAAGCTCAGAATTTGCCGGAAATTTATTTGTTAAGTGTGCACAGTCGAAATGTTTGCTTCCCTATAAACTCCGCTCTTTTCGTTCACCCTACGGTCACTCCATTTATGCACTTCTAATATGAACAATATATTGAAAAACATTTTGATTTTTGGATGAAGACACAAGATGAAAGGCCAGGAAATAACGAGAAGCTCTCTCTATATTATGCTTGATGCAAACAATCAATATCTGTTCTTTCCTTCTACGCACAATTCGTAGTCTTTCAAGAATATGGTCGTCAACAGACCTGATAATCCCATAATAGTTTTCAGGCTTGGTCTGTCACAAGGAAGCAATAACGAAGCACCCAGTAAGAATTAAATACAAAGCTTTTTTTTTAAAGTTAGATGGATAGATGATAAATACACTTATATATATATATATATATATATATATATATATATATATATATAGAGAGAGAGAGATAGAGAGATAGATAGATAGATAGATAGATAGATAGATAGATAGATAGACAGTAAGATGGATAGATTATGAATATACATTTGTAGATAGATAGATAGATAGATAGATAGATAGATAGATAGATAGATAGATAGATAGATAGAAAATAAACAGTAATAATGGATAGATTATGAATATACATTTATAGATAGATAGATAGATAGATAGATAGATAGATAAACAGTAAAATGGATAAGATGGATTAAATTTATAGAATATAGATTTATAGATAGATAGATATAGATGGATAGATAGAATATAAATTTATAGATAGATAGATAGATAGATAGATAGATAGATAGATAGATAATTAATAAACAGTAAGATGGATAGATTATGAATATAAATTTATAGATAGATAGATAGATAGATAGATAGATAGATAGATAGATAGATAGATAGATAGATAATTAATAAACAGTAAGATGGATAGATTATGAATATAAATTTATAGATAGATAGATAATAATAATAAATTAAGATGGATAGATTATGAATATATTTGGATAGATAGATTTATAGATAGATAGATAGATAGATAATTAATAATTAAAATAAATTTATAGATAAGATGGATAAAACAGATTTATGAATATAAATTTATAGATAGATAGATAGATAGATAGATAGATAGATAGATAGATAGATAGATAATTTAATGGAAATTATTTAGATGCATAGATTATGAATAAATAAATTTATAGATATGAATATACATTTATAGATAAAAATAAAGATAGATAGATAATAATGGATAAGATTTATGAATATACATTTATAGATAGATAGATAGATAGATAGATAGATAGATAGATAGATAGATAATGATAAACAGTAAGATAGATTATGAATATGTTTGTAGATAGATGAGATAGATAGATAGATAGTGATGAGACAGTAGATAGATAATGAACTAAGGCAATGAATCAATTAACATAGATATAGACTTAGATATTTAGATAAATAACCTGAATACAATGCGTTTGCTTTTTTCTTTGTCTAGGCTGTAACCTTTGCCATCTGAATTGAATATCAGGTTTGGTTTCAAAACTACAGCCATATATTTCTTTCTTTCTGAACCCTTTTCTTTTATTTTCCTTACTTTTCACTCAATTCTTCACATATCCTTTCACTCCAAGTAACCCCTTGCAGATTACAAATTTCAACATTTATTATTCTTTTTAGCTTTTGTAATGGAATAAACGATGTGCAGGTTGTGAAATCGTTCGGGGCTCTGAATGAAAAATCGGCAAGCCGAATTCAAATTCTAGACAAGTCCAATGTGCTCACTTTTGTGCAAATACGCTTAGGAAATATTTAAATCAATCTCTTCTCTTCTTTCCTCATCTCAGTTATGGATTAAATAGCAGAGCAGTTTCTTTTCTCGCATTTGTGGAACTCCTTTCCTTTTACTTGCTTTCATGATAACTACAATCTTTAAAAATTTAAATGCAACATCAATCGCCATCTCCTGTGTTCATCCCGTTCATTTGTTCATTCTTTAATCCTCCCTATACTCGGTCTTTTCTTTCATTTTCAATCCCTGTAACTCCCTGTGTACTAGTGACATTCCCGTCTTGCTTGGGTGAAATGATTAAAAAAATATTACTACAAGAGCTGAAAGGTTACGAATATAACAACCAAGACGAAAATATTGACCGAATAGCAAAACACATGATAATAAAATCTCATCTAGAAATTCGGAAAAATGGAATTTGGCTGAGTAAATATACTTTCAGGGAAATAAGCAGGCTGGATTCTGTATATTTTGTTAGGTGTAAATCTCTTTCACACCGGGTTCTTTAAGCAGCAAAAATGGCGACATTCATCTCCTAAAATAATTCAAGTTGAGAAATTTTGAATCTAAATGAAAATATTGGGAGAAAAATTTCATTAGAAATAAAAAATATGGATCTGCTAATTAAAAAAGAGTCTACATTTGATTGAATATACAACGAAAGATGTTAACAGAGTTTAATGTAAACAGTTCTTGTTTGTTTGCATTGTGCAATTATAGAAGTTGCAAGAGCTCTCAAAAAATTTAACAGAATAAAGTGCAGTAAATATTTGTTTCTACAAAAGCAAATATCCATTCGTGTATGCCGTTGCCCGCGTCTTCAAACCCAATAAGCATACGTAAGCAGAAAAAAAATTTGTATTGAAGCAACCGGTAAATAGCAATTCACAAAATGAAAATAACTGCGTTGTGATCAGAAATTATTAAATATACACAAAGAGGCTGATTAAAAGTGTCAAACTGAATTCCTTTCACTTTAATTTAGAATTTGTAAAACACCGTGAGTGAAAGATGCAAAATGCGTACATTACTTTAAATACACTGAAGTAAAATTTCGAAAGAAATTCACTCAATTACTGAAAAATGAAAATGAATCCTTATAAGGCCTGATCGGCTTCAGAATAAACATTTGAGTAAGTGTTGTCTGATTTCACCTCAATATTCTTCATGTTTCTGATTGGCTAGAAAGATTTAATTAATGTCTAGTTGGTTAAGATTACTGGTGAAATTCAAAATCATGCAAATTGTGCTACTAAGAATAATCCAACGTCGTTCATTACGACGTAATAAATATTCTTCAACTTAGATTTTAAATTATTACTAAGAATTATTTGCAAAATTTAACCTCAAAATTTTCAATCCCGAAATATCAACATATATATCTTCATATTAATTTCACTTTTAATAATTTGCAATAGTATTTCTTATTGTTGTAAACACAATATTTATTGTATACACGTGATTGGGTAGACATCCATGTTTTTGGTTTTGTTTTGTTTTTCTTAAAGAGTGAAATTAATGTCTCCCAACCGAGAGGTCATAAAGAAAATGCACTTCGAGACAATAATTGAACCACTTTCTTTTTCCAATTAGTGTAATCATTTTTAAGCCAAGTGTATTTTGCCAAATAGGCCACAGGAACAAAGCAAGTCTCAAGTGTCCTAATTAAGAAATGCACAGCATTTGTTAACTTTATTTTTACACACGAAACTTAAAATAATTTCAAATAGCGTTTTTTTTTTCTTAATCCTACATTATTAATTTGATTTCTTATCGCCTTTTGAAAATCTGGAAAAGCACTTTCAGACCCATTTTTAGAGTAAAGCACGCCTAGAGTGAAATTATGCTGTCAGGTTAATTCATTAAGAAATAAAGGTTCGATCTCTAGGCCGGTAGACAATATTTTCCCTGTTTAATCACACACTGATAACTCCTCACACACGTGTATCTAATAAATAGAACGTTTAATCTAATAATATCAAATTAAAAAAAAAATCCATAAATAGCTTATTAAATGAACACCGTATATCGCGAGAGGTTGTATATACAAAAGAAAAAAGGATCACATCATTTCACTTAGTCTGCCACAAGGCCACAAAAATGGCGCGCGTAATGTATAAATCTAGCCTGCTGATCTCTACAACATGAAATACGTTTTGAGTGGAAGTAGATAACCAAACTGATAGTTCATCCTGTAGGTGTAGTTCCACATTTACTAAGCGAACACAGGCCATAATGTTCGAGCACTTTTTGCATATCAGTTTAGCAAATAACAACGTAACATGCTTGTTCAATTCAAAATCACCAGTGGAGGCCACCTTGAAGGTGCAAAGCTAAGAAAATTAATTCCCAGATTTACTCTATCCTGTATTAACATTTGTCAAACTTCATTCGAGGCTCTTTCGAAAGAGGCTTGACTTCACTACAGAAGTAACGGATATTGATGAGTTTGCCAGCCATCGACCACGAAGAGACAGCCTCTTCATTGGTGTTTACTAAACTTCGCTTAATCTGGAGCATAGCTCAAAAGTACAAGGCAACCAGTGAAGACATTTTAATGCCCTACTCTCCATTGTTCTGGGTTGAAGCGCTAAAGTCTAAAATATGTTTTTCGTTTCTCTGAGTTCATCTTACGCCAGGGATCAGCAACCCCTGGTCACATCCGGCCGCAAAGGACTTTTGTTCGGTCCGGGAAGGATTTTTGTCCAACCCGGGAAGGATTTCTCTCCGGCCCGCAGACCTGGACATTAATTATCTAATTAATTTGTGGAGCAAGTGGAAGAAAAAATATCGGTTGAAGTTAATTGATTACAATGCTACAAATTTTTTAAATCAAAATTTAATTCTAAATCCACTGCTGCCTTCTACAAGAAACATGTTCAGCCTATTGAATAATGCAAAAATGAAGGAATCATTATGTGGAAGTACATATACTTATGAACAACGTTTTTTTTCGAAAATGAAGTATATTAAAAGTCGTTTAAGAACAAGGTTGGGTGATGACTACATAGATGATGTTTTCCTCATGTCATAGACAAATATTCCCTTCTAATGTGGAGAAGTTATCGATCAGAAACAAGTGTCTCATTTAAAATTTGCCACTTCTAACTGTATTTCATTTGTAGTAAAGAAAATGCGTTTTTCGCTCATTATGATAGTCGATGTCCTATCATTCCTGCAGTAAAATAAAGAACCTTGTTTAAATAATATAACATTAACTGTTTTATACATTATTTACATTATTCGGACTATTGTTCTCATCTTTGACGCCATATTTATCACGTTTCGGCCGTTGTACACTCCGGCCTTTTCAGGTGGTTTTAAATGTCGAAATGAACCCTCAAGGACACATGGCACAGTGGATAAAGGCGTTGGTTAGATCCAGTGATACGACCCAAAGAGTGTGAGTTCAATACCCGGTTAAGGCAGTGGAGAACTTTCAGAGGGAAATTAACAGGAGATAACTGATAACTGAAATCCATCAAACTTGGCACGTTGAACTAGAACAGTCTACCCCAGTGAGCGAAATAAAGGGTTCAGTTCAACATTCCAACCACCTGAAGAAGGCCGGAGCGTACAACAGCCGAAACGTTGTGATAAATATGGCGACAAAGATGAGGGCAAGAGTCAGAATAATATAAAAATAATGTAAAAGTAATTGGTTGAAAATTCTCTTTTTATACTTTGTAACATGTTTTCTACAATGCCCATGTATCTCGTTTTCCAGGAGTATGTCCTTTTCTCGGTTGTATATACAGACACATATTTTTTATATATGAAATTTGACACACATACACAGAGGTTTGTTGTATATATATATATATATATATATATATATATATATA